AGTAGCCAGGGTGCTCTTGTCTCTTCATAGGCAGAGGACCACTACCCCCGCGTCTGGCTCATCTTGCCTTTATTCACCCAAACATAGGCACAAGCAATCAAAGTAACACAAGATTCATCTGCTTTCCAATATCCATTAGTACGCACTCTGGTAAACAACCTAACTTCAGGTGTCATAACTTTTCCCTAGACCCTGCAATATGCAATCACTTCTGAGTGCAGCCTTTCTCCTTTGTGCTCACAGAGGAGGCCAATTAGGCCTCAATTCTCCTCTAGTCGCCCACAGCCAGTGATCTTTAAAATATGATAGTCCTTTCAGTATAATGTCTTTGAGATGTTGCCTTTAATATCTGTTGGAAAGGAAATATCCAGACTTTTCAAATGTCCTTATTATGATTCTTGTTTTGTTTACATAGGGAACAATGTTTATATGCAGTGGAGATCTACAACAAGAACTGTATATTTTCAAACAAATTTTCAATGATTTCACAATTTTTGTAAATCAGTTTCAGGCTTCCTCACCTGTAGATTCTCATTGTCAATCCCTTGCATGCTTATCCATAAGTGTATTTGTAATACCAAAAATGCAGGTTTAGTATTGTTTCACATGTGTAACTTTTTCTTTTCTTTTGTTTTGTTTTTTTTTTTCAAGACAGTCTCTCTTGTAGTTCAAGCTGGTCTTGAACTCATAATGTAGCCAAGGATGGCCTTGAACTCACAGTGATCCTTTTGACTCAACCTCCAGGGTGCTAGGATTACAGGCACCACCATCCCCAACTCCACATGCGTAGTTTTGGTTGAGCTATTAAATAGTGGTCAAGTACTGTGGATGTGAATGTGGGAAGTAATTTTCATCACATGTAATTGGTCACAAGGCCTAATTTGCAGCAACTATTGATGTTTTATTTACAATGCCTTGTTACTTTGTATACATTAACATTATGGTGTACAGATTGTGTGTCTATCCAACAGGGAGCCACAATATTTAAAGTGACCAAAACCTAATGGTAAGACTACTTTGAGGCAGCCAAATGTAAACTAAAAGACTTAAAGTGGTGCAATTTTGTATAACTTAGCATCAGTAGTTCAATAAATTTGGATTGCCATACAAGGGCTTGCATTATTAAAAAAAACCCCAAAAATACTTAATCTGCTGGAAGATAAAATAAGTACAACTCTTGAAGACACAGGCATAGGCAAGGATTTTCTGAACAGAACCTCAAAGGCACAAGAAATAATACTGAAACTCAACAAATGGAATCATATCAAATTTAAAGCTTCTGCACAGCATAGGAAACAACCGAGTGAAAAAGACAACCTACAGAATAGGAAAAATATTTTTGCCAGCTATTTCTCAAACAGAAGACTAACATGTAGAATATATAAAGAACTCAAAAAAATTAGACTCCCCCAAATAAAAGACCCAATCAAAAAATGGGCAACCAAAATGAAAAGGCTTTTCTGAGGAAAAGTACAAATGACCAATAAATGTAGTACATGAAAAAAATCTTCACTATCTCTGGCCATTAGAGAAATATAAATTAAAACAACTTCTAGATAACATCTTATTCCAGAAAGAATGGCTATCATCAAAAAATCTAATATTAACAAATGCTGGCAAAGATGTGGGGAAAAAACAACTCTTCTACATTGTTGGTGGGAATGTAAACTATTACAACCACTCTGGAATTAGTATGGAGAGTCCTCAAAAAACTAGAACTAGAAATCCTATTTGACCCAGCTGTTCCCCTTCTACGTTTCTTCCCAAAAGAGATAAAATTATCGTATTATAGGGCTACATTCATACCTGTTTATAACAGCACAATTTAATAGCTAGATCTTGGAAACAGCATACATGTCCATCAACAGGTGAATACATAAGGAAAATGTGGTATTTATACACAATGGAGTACTACTCTGCCATAAAGAAAGATTAACTTGAGGAATTTGTAGGTAAATGGCTGCAACTTAAGAGTATAGTATTAAGTGAAATAAGTCAGATACACAAGTTTAAATATTGCATGGTTTATCTTATATAAGAAACTCAAAGTATATATATGCAAATGAGGAGTAAAATGAAAGATATAAATAGGAAGTGGGGAGATTCAAATGGTTCCCCAAGTTACCTATTCTGTTGCTTTAAAAATATTTTAATATATATGCTAATTTTTTTCATTTGTACTACTAGTGTCTCTTAGTTTATTGAAAAGAAAGTTTTGCGCTAATATGTTTCTTCTTTGTAAGAGAATCTTTTTTGTCAATGGCTGGTACTCCGAATAACTACTTTGAAGATAACAATACATGGTGTATTAACCATTGTTATTCTCTTATTATTATTTTTTGTTTTTGTTTTTGTTTTTTTTGGTACCAGGGATTGAACTCGGGTCCTTGTGCTTGCGAGGCAGGCAGCGGAACCACTGAGCTAAATCCCTGGCCCTTCTCTTATTATTTTGTTAAGAAATTTTGTTTTATATTACCATTTAAAAAAAAAAGGAAAAGAATGAAAAGAAATGAAGTCTACAGCTTTGGCAGCTATTCTGTGAGTGTGAAGCCTGAAGGCAAAAGTCAAATTGTGGAGAGAAAGGATTGAAAGAATCCGAGTCATTGATAAAATTGGCAAAATGCTCAGCCTATTTTGGGACCGTGTAATTTCATCCTTTTTGTAAAACAGAAAATAAATATCCTTATGGATTAAGACTCTTATAGCTGGGGCTATATTTGCATTGAACACATATAATTGATATGCAGAGGTATGACCTAAACAGATTTTTCAGGAGCAGGAATGGAACATATGCAGGGATGGCGACTCCAGTAGTCCTGAAGAAACATCATAATGGCCTGGCCTAAGAAGGAAGCAGTAAAGTTGGAGTGAAGCAGATTCAAGATGTATTTGGAGATAAAAAAAAAAAAACCAACAGGACGTGTTATTAGTTACAATAGGACATGCTGTTAGTTTAGATATGAGAAATGAGAGGTGAAGGAGAGGTAGGAATAAGGCCAACCTCTAGGTTCTGTACTTGATAGTGGTGCCATATATTGACATGGAGAACAGGAAGAAGAGTCTTGGGGAAGGGAGGGACTCAAGAATTCTTTTTCGGATGTGTTAAATTTTAAATGTGCATGAGTCATTCAAACAGAGATGTAAAATCAGCAGGTAGACATGAATCTGAAGTGCCAGGGTAAGTTCAGGGCTTGGATTTCAATTGGGGAATTGTCAATATACAAAGTATATTTAAAGCCACAGAAACAGAGAAGATCCCATTTATCAAAATCTGAGGAATTCTAAAATGAGAGGTCCACTAGAAGGCTAAGAGACTGAAGAAAAGTATTAGGAGGTAAGAGGAAAACCATTACTATCACCAATACCAACAGCTTTGCATTTATATTGAATTTAGCATTATGTAAAACTAATTTACTTTATGCCAGGCACTGCTGCAAGTGCTTTGTGGCTTCAAAGAAGCAAAAGAAAAAAAGTGGGCTTCTTTTTTTTTTTTCTTTTTAAGTACTGGGGTTTGAACCCAAGGCATTTGCACTGAGCTACGCTATATCCCCAGCCGTCTTTATTGTTTATTTTGAGACAGGGTCTAAGTCCCGAAGTTGCCCAATCTGGGCTCAAATTTGCCATCCTCTTGCCTCAGCCTCCAAGAATGCTGAGATTCCATGTGTACGCCACCACACCAGGCTTTTCTTTTTCCCTTCATTTTCTCCTTTGCCTTTCACCCCTAAAGTTAAAAAGTTTAAGTGCAGTGCTTCTCAAATTTTATATAATTAATTGTTAAGTTATATATTTTTGGAAAATATTCATTTAGCACAATAGAGGAAAGCTAATTGAGAAAAATAAAGATTCTCAGAAACTTTATTCCCCAGAGGTAGTAATTTTTTTGTATACCCTCTGGGAAGTCTGCAGACATATACACGGACTTGTTTTTACATAAGATCTCTCTCTCTCTCTCTCTCTCTCTCTCTCTCCCCCCACATATACATGCTAATATCTAATTCTGCAACTTACTTTTTAAAATTCAATTCATTTTGGAGTTATTTCTACATATGCACATTTAGATCTCTTTCTAAAGCCTAACATCCTATTGTATTAACAAACCATAATATATTTAAGTTCCTCTACTGTATATATATTGGTTTTTCTTACCACAGCAAAACATTTTTGTAGACAAATCTTTGGTTACTGGTGCCAAATAACTGTCAGATAATTTCCTCCTAGTAAATATGCTGAATTGATGCGTGTAAGCTGCCCAAAAGGTTATACAAATGACTTTCTCTCCAATTACATTTTCTCACATCTTGGTCAACACTTGCTATTAATCAACTCCAAAAATCAATTGACTGAAAAAGTGATGTTTCATTGTTCTTATCTGGGTCTCTAATTACGAGTAGAGCAGCAAGGCCTGAAATGTGTTACCTCGGGCCAGTTGGATCCCTTCTCAAAAAAAGGGAACAATGACTGACAAACCTTTAGGATTCGAGGAGATAATGGAGAACTACAGGAAGCCCTCCCTATTCCTTCGTTTTTGACAGTACTCGTCCTAACATTTTGGAGCCGTGTTCGCTTTATCTGAGATGTTCTCTTTTCAGCCAAGTTTTGCAAAGGTCTCTTGCTGTTCGTAATTGGACATGAGTGAAAAATTAGCTCTTTTAAAAAATGTTACCCTCCAATCTCGCCGCAGACCTACGGTATTGGTTTACACATCAGTTGTACAAGAATGAACTGCAGTTTTAAACATGCAAAGTAGATGTGGTCAGCGCCTCCCGGCAGTCAGGATCCACTATTTACGAAGCAAAGAACAGAGATAACAAGTATCTGACCCTACCTATCAAACGTCTCACCAACCCCAGGAAGGCTAAAATGATCGGCGCTCAAAGAATTAAAAGACTTTCGATTCAAATCAGAACAGTTTTACACCCACGGCCCTAAAGGCAAACTCCGGGACTCGTTCCCCACGGCCACGCCCCAGCCGGAAGTGACGCACCCAGCCGATTATTTCTTTTTCCGGCGTCTGCCAGTGGCACGACCCAGGCCTGCGCGAGGTGTGCGTCGGCCAGCTAAGGGATTCTGGGTAACGGCCCCTGCCGGCTGCAGCGCCTGGATTCGTGCAGCGGCTTCTGTTCACTTTAAGTCGTTTGGCAGTGGCGTTTGTAGGGTGAGGGCCAGCGGGACATGGAGCAACCGTGGCCGCCGCCGGGACCTTGGAGCCTCCCTCGAGCAGGGGGTGAGGCTGAGGAAGAGAGTGACTTGGATGTGTCCCCCGGTTCTCCCCGCTGCCCACCGCTACCGGGCGGTGACGCGCAGGTGAGACGGGGCTCGCGTTCTGCGGGGAATAGGGCGATTCTGTCGCCAAGCACCGAGAGGGCCGCGCCTCCCGGACCCACTTCTCTGCCCAGTTCTGCGCCCCCCTCTATCCCTTGGACCGGGGCCTGATGCCATCCCACCCCTGTTGTAGCATCTTCGGGGAGAAGAGGAGGTGGCTTATATTTATTCCTAGGCTTCCCATATATATATTTTTTTCTTTCACCTTGGGTGCTCCATCCTCACCCTTGGAAGACTCCTCCAATTCCTTTCCTAACAGCGCTCACATTTGGGGTGGCTCACGCTGTATAATATTGACCCTTTGTCCTCTTGTGCGTTTCACTTGTACATAGTTGATAGGAACTGGGAGTGATTGTACCATAACGTTACATTGAGACCTACTCTTTCATCCACTTTGCCTTCTGAGCAAAGTCTGTAAACCTAGCTTTCCTGGCGTATATCTCCTATTGGCCTGACCCATCTTTCCTTTACTGGTTTGTTTTTGGTTTTTCTTGTCATTGTCCAATAAAAACGTATAGGCACAGACCTGCGGTTTTTTCAGACTTCTCCCTCGGGTTTCTGATGCTACCTGTGGTTTTCAATCAAGCTTTCTTGCCTCTGAAACTTACCCAAATGTGGTTTATTAGGATTTTTCTCCTAGAGGGTGCTTATGTACTTACATCCCCTTATCTTGATTTTTTTTTTCTCCCTAACGTATGTGTTTTGGATTATATTTCAGGATCGCAGACTAGATGTCTGCCTGTGAGGCTTTTGTGTATAATGGGGTCTAATAAAAATGTAACAATTGATAAAAAATTTTTTTCGAAATTCATTTTGCTAGATGTTAATGAAGGTGAGTGGTTTAAATTGGTTGCCAATTTATGTCCAACTAGCTGAGTTAGTTGGCTTTACACAGAAAAAAAAATGCTGTTTCATAACCAGATTGTACCGTAGCCAGCTGGTCACTGGGAAAAGTGAGGCAGAATCAGAGTTGATGGGTCAGTAGTCACCCACTAATTATGGATTGCTAGTGTCTTTATATTAAAAAAAAAAACCATACTGCTTTATACAGAGAAAGAATGAACAGCAATTGCTATTTTCAATTTTGAAGGCATATGGAGGAAAAGAAAAGGTCTCAAGAATTTCAGCGCACTGTGGTTGCATTACACAAGGAAGCTCAGAAACTCAAAATTTAAAATGTTATTATATTAATTTTTACTTAGCACTCATAAACTTCTTTGAGTGAAAGGGATTTTAGAAGTGAATAGGCTCATCTCCATAATTACAAGTGATTTTCTGGGGCATTTTAAGTGACAGGGTCAAAACTAGAACTTACTGCAGCCAGACCAGTATTTTTTTTCCTACCCATTGCACTGTCCATACTGTGAAATAATATAAAACTTTATTTCGCTGAAACTACCCTTAAATGGTATTAAAATTTGAATTCTGAGTTCATGAGTTTATTGCAAACTTATTTGTCTTGCTGGCTTTAGCATTTAAATTTTTGGATTGAAATCGTAGGAAAGAATAAAATATTTAATCCAATCAATGGACATTTAAAACTGTTTAAAGTATTTATTTATTTATTCATTCACTCATTCATTCTTTTGGCACCACTGGGGATTGAACTCAGGGCTTTTACCCTGAGCTACATCTCCAGCCTTTTTTAAAAAATTTATTTTGAAACAGGCCTTGCCCAGGCTAGGCTGGAACTTGCAGTCCTCCTGCCTCAGCCTCTCAGAGTGCTGGGATTATAGGCATGTGCTTCCATGCTCAGCTAAAAATCTTTTTTTTTTTTTTTAAGCTTTGCTTTAATTTTTGTAAAGTATGAGAAAATCTAGACATTTTAATTTAGCAAGTGATTATTGGTTCTGAGATCCAACTAATGTCAAGACAGGTTGGAGTATAGAGATCCCTTTTGAGAATGTGATGTAAAATTTCATTTGTAGACTTTAATGCTAACAGTTCTTTTTCAGAATTTGTCATTAAAATATAATGATGCCCCTCTAAAATTTTGGTATGTTCATGGATTAAAATAAGACCTCATATTTTATTGAATCAACCAAGTGCACATTGGATAGTTTTCCCAAATAGTTGTCTGGGTAGTCTGAGGAAAATAATTTAAATATAAATCATTCTGAGAATTGTTTTGATTTGAGAAATAAATATTTGTTGCCACATAATTTGAAAATATAAGATACTCCATTTGTCTATATTGGCTTTTTTGGTATAGCTTTGTCTTTTCTTATAAATAAAGTTATAACTTTATTTTTCTATTTTTCCTGGCCCCATGTTTAAACATAGTCTACAGTTACTCTTCATCCTATTTTAAGATAGCAGAAAGTAAAATTAAATGTTTTACTTGGTTATTTAAGGACATACAGGTACCTAGGCTCTGAACCTGCTGATTGAGTTAAGTATCAGAATAGCAATGGTGCCCCAATAGAATTGCCCCAAAAGAAACCTTGAATTTACTTGAAAATGTGGCCAAGACATAGGGTCTTTGTTTGCTTCTTGCCTTAGAATTCTTTACCACCACCATTCTGTTCAGAAGATAGAGATTTATTCATGGAACATTTATTGAATTCTAGCTCCTCAAGAGTTTGGTAGTTAGCTGGGCATGATAGTGAATGCCTATAATTCCAGCACTCTGGGAGGCTGAGGCAGTAGTTCAAGCCCAGCCTGGGCAATTTAGTAACTTAAGGAGATCCCAACTCAAAGTAAAAAATAAAGAAGGCTGGGAATATAGTTCAGTGAGCAGGCTCTGGGTTCAATCTCCAGTACCGCCAAAAACAACCAACCAACCAACCAACCCCCCCCCCCCACACAGCTGATAGTTAAAAAAACTAATAAGTACCATAGTATACCATATTATGTGAAAACCTCCACTATAGAAATATGCATTACTTGGCTGGGGAGAAAATGGATGAGAAAAAGCTTAAGGGATGCCAGAATCTGGAATAGGGGTAGGAGTTACCTAGAGGAAACGTTGCCAGATTGAAGTGTAGTGAAGGAGAATGGCTTGCAACAAGGCAGATTATTTAGATAATTCAGGTGTAAAATTACAAGGGCTTGAATAGTGATGTAGATATGAGAACAGATTGGGGAGAGAATTATTCAGGAAAGTAGTCTGAAGTTGGTCTACATTTGGGCAAGAAGTCATAAAGAATGTACCTTTAGCTTTTGTTTTATAAAGCCAAAGAATATAAGTAATTAAACATCTCATATTGCTTTATGTATAATAATTAATGTAGTAGTGAATTACTACTTCTGAGTGAAACAATTACTCGGGTAGAACCAGTTGGCATTTGAAAATATAAATAACTGGGCCGGGGATTTAGCTCAGTGGTTCCAGCGCCTGCCTTGAAAGTGCAAGGTCCTGAGTTTGACCCCTGGTACCAAAAAAAAAAAAAAAAAAATACACACACACACACACAAATAACTTTGCCTATTTTGATTAGGATTAAATTAAAGGATATTAGTCTGACATAATCCATTGTATATAGAAATTTCTAGTAAGAACTTCTCAAATCACCAAGGATTGGGATAATACAAAAAGAAAACAGAAACCAAAATAAAAGGAGGTTCTTCGCAGTGTGAATAACTTGCAGTACAAATCTCTAAAGGTCTGATTTTTAAGCATGTGGAATATGGAGGTGATGAACTAGACTTAGGCTTTATTCTCATTCTGCTGGTTTAAGATTATGAAGACTATAAATCAAGTTTGTTGAATACCAACTAAATGCAAATCACTGATAGTTGCCAGGGTTTGTATTGTTGTTAGTTGTTGGAGGAGGGCTGTAGATTACAAAGTAGCTTTAGAGTCTAGTTGAAGAAATAAATAAGGTTTATAATATAAAAATGTAACTGTAGGGCCGGGGATTTAGCTCAGTGGCACCATGCCTGCCTTGCAAGCTCAAGGTCCTGAGTTCAATCCCCAGTACTGGAAAAAAAAATAAATGTAACTGTAGACACAGAAGAACTCAGGATATACTTTGTACCAATAATGTACAGAAGTTCTTTGAATTAAAAAAAAAAAAAAAGCTTTTGGGAGGCTGAGGCAGATGGATCACAAGTCCAAGCCCAGCCTGGGCAATTTTGCAAGACCCTGTCTCGTAATAAAAAATAAAAGAATGACCAGGAATGTAGTTCAGTTCAGAGGCCCTGGGTCAGTTCCCCAATACTGAAAAAAAAAAATAGATCTGTGCTACAAAAACATACTCGTTGCCTTCTTCATTTCTTATTGACTATTATTTTTTCGTCCAGATGTATAGCCATGAAATTGAGCTGGCTTGCCAAAAGCAGACAGAGTTTGTGAAGAGCTCTGTGGCATGCAAATGGAATCTTGCTGAAGCTCAGCAGAAACTTGGTAGTTTAGCACTGCATAACTCTGAATCCTTGGATCAGGAATATGCCAAAGCACAAACAGCAGTATCAGAATTGAGGCAGCGGGAAGAAGAATGGCGACAGAAAGAAGAAGCTCTAGTACAAAGAGAGAGGATGTGTCTGTGGAACATGGATGCCATTAGCAAGGATGTTTTTAATAAGGTATGATCTTTTTGTTGGGGCATATAGAAAGAAGAAAAGATATGTAGCTGTACATATTTGATGGCAAAGCAGCAGAATCCTGTAAAAGATACTCAGTTTTGACTTTTATAAAAAAGTACTTGTTATAGAAAACTGACCCACAGTAGAGTCTCATTTGAGTAGTGCTTAGTACAAATAATATGGCTGCAGCATAGAATGTGGCGCACTGCAGTGTGGACTCGAGTCAGATTCCCTCAGATCTCAGCTTTGTCACATGATGGCTTTGTGTCCTTGGTGAAGTCACTATCTCTAAGCCTTGGTTTCTTCAACTGTGTAGAGTAGATCTGAAGATTAAATAAAATAATGTCTTAAAAATGAGTTAGCAAGGGGCTTGGTACATGGTGAAGCTCAGATGTTATGAGAAATTTCTGATGTTGCAATGGTGTGATCTTGCAATCAGTTTGGTAACATGCATATTTAATTAGATTTATTAAATAAAAGTCTTTACTTACCATATGGCATTAGTAAACTTGGATAGTAATCTAGACTTAATGTTACAAGCATTGGTACTGAAAGGACTCTAGAAATAATTTAGACTCTTAAATAGTACTCTACTTTTTGCTAAATTAAAGAATAGTATTTTGTTTCACTAGAACATATTGGTTTTATTATTTTATTTTTGATCTGAAGAAGAAATGGGTTTCAGATATAAAGTATTTATTGCTGGAAGGGTACAGAAGAACTACCCTTCACACTTTGGGGTCATAGAAGTTTAAGTTGTGGAAACAATTTGGTGCATTGCAAGCAGCATTTTTCTTTTTCAAATAGAATACAGTAGGAAAGATCATAATGTCAACATTGTATTGTAAAACACTTGTTTTGGATGTATGTGTGCATGTTAGGCCACAATATACAGTGTGTTTCTTAAACTATAACCAAAAAGTTTAAAAGTTCTTACTCTAAAGCTGCAGACTGGAGACAGCTCTTGTTGTTTGCACTGCCGCAGATTGAACCAGGGTCTTGTGTGTGTTAGGCAAGCCCTCCACCACTCAGGTACACCCTTAGCCCCCACAGGCAGTTTTAATTTAACCAGTCTCAAATATTTGTTTTACTTTTTTTTTTTTTGGTACCAGGGATCGAACTCGGGTCCTTCCGCTTGTGAGGCAGGTGGCGGAACCACTGAGCTAAATCCCCGGCCCAAATATTTGTTTTATATACAGGTACTGCTAAACAAACACATATAAAAAAGCATTCAGAAAATACTTCTAAGGATCAAAGATCTTTTCCCCCATCTCATATTTTGTATCCCATACTTTGGTGGTCACAGTTTGAGTTTCTTTTATTCAACCACTTTATTTTATAAATGAAGAAACTGAAACATAGAGTGACTCAATAACATAGTGATGGATTAAATCTGATTCCTTTATCATATTTAGAATCAAAATACCCCTTAAAATATTTATATTAACAGTAAGAAGGATAGCAAAACACAAAATCATGTACAAGCTTAAGGATTCAAATTTCTGAAGTGCCAAAAAATTAAAAGGAAAATAATGGCTTACCATAAAGCTGTCATATATGGTAATAAGTGTCTCCAATGGCTGCAGATTAAAGTAATAAATGTACTCCTTGGACTTTTCTTATTCTTGGTCAAAAACTGCTCAACTAATTGATTAGTATAATGTAGTTATGAAACTGCTTAGCTTTTTGTTGCTTCTCTATAGTTGCTTTGAAAACAGTGCAATTTCAGACAAATTTACAGAGCACATATTACTCTCAAATTAGTCATTATATAAAAGACATTCACTGGAAGCGGTAAGTATATTCCATAGTTAACCATATTTATCAATTAAGGAATAAAAACTAAAATTTCTAAGCCTTTATTGCATATTAGGAAAACAAATCTTTGACTATACTGCAATGTAAAACTTTTTTTTTTTGGTACTGGGGATTGAACTCGGGTCCTTGCGCTTGCACAGCAGGCAGCGAAACCACTGAGCTAAATCCCTGGCCCAAAACTTTTTAAAATATTAAATTCCTATAACTAGATTTAGTATGAAGAAGGGATGATGAGCACAGGCACAGAGCACTGCACCAACATACAAAATCTAGTGTTCTGCAGTCCACTAACAGTAAGAATTTAAAAGATGGGACAATCAAGGACAAAGAATGAGAGAAAAGTAAACAGAGAGAGGCAGGAAAGGACAGGGATAGGTATCACAAAGACAGGGACCATACTGACGGGAGATAAAAACAACAGGTAAAATTTACAGGCTGCTTCAAGATAACATGTAAATAACTGTTCAATGCTGTACCTTTTTAAAATCTGAACTAAGGGCCAGAGATTTAGCTCAGTGGTTCTGCTGCCTGCCTCGCAAGTGCAAGGACCCGAGTTCGATCTCCGGTACCTAAATAAATAAATAAATAAAATCCGAATTAAGAAATTCCTGGCTGAGCTTGAAAGACGAGGCAAGGCAAAGAAAGGTATGAATGTCATCTATTAAGATGCCTTTAAGAATGAAAATGATGTTCATATAATTGTCTATTGTTAATGGGGATAATAGATGTTAATAAGGGACATCACTGGCCTGGTTGAGCTTTTACAATCACATGTTTCTCAAACTATTCAAGGTTTATACCTTTGTTTTCCATTTGAAAACAGTTTCTAGAGATTGATTTTGAAATGGATTAAAAGAAGGAGGAAAGCGAGACCTGGTAAATTTTTGGGCTAGTGCTTTAGTATGGCATAAAATGATTACATGTATATTGAAGAATAGTAACTACATTAATCCTTATTTGGGAGAAACATTAATAATTAAGTTTATGAACACACTGATAGGTACACATATTCCTCTTTGCCAAAATGTCTGGGAAATAGTTCTCAAAGCTACAAGCTCTTAGCTTTGCAACAGGAGTGGATTTTGTATATTATCTACTGTTACTATTGCCTGAGCAGGGATGATGCTACTATATTTGTACAGAGAAAGAAAGATAGGCCTTCAGATGTTATTATTTCCCTTAATTAACCATAGACATATCATATAGAGTGAGTTTGGACCTTTTTTAGCCTTTTTAATATGGAAAGTTTTAGTATACATCAAGTAAACAGATGAGCTCCATGTTGTGCATGGTGTCATCATTCTGCCATCTCATTCATCTATACTTTTCCCATCTTTGCTTGATTAATTTTTGAATTTTTAGCTAACATTTTGAGATGCACAAATCTTACATATAAATCCAACAGATATACTGTATAATACTCAAGGTAATGTAATTTGAGATTAAAGAATAAAGAATTTAAATTTTCAGTTTGCAGCCTCTTAGGACAGTGAAATCCAGTCATTTTCTACTAATTTATAAAGGCCTGCTTCTTTATATTGTACCAAACATAACCCTCAGGCTTTGGAGATAAACTACTCATTCTTGTCTCAGTCCACGTACACTTCATCGTTAAGCATTATTGCTTAGACTTTTCATCTTATAACCAACTTGTTTTTGTCTTCCTGACATCCACTCTCACAACATGAGCACTCAGTTGCCTTCTTGTGGACCAGCTCTAGTTCTGCCGCAACAGTCAGTAACACATAAGGGACATGTGTATCACCACTGGCCCTATCAGTACCTTCTTTTTTGAGAAAAAATTTAATGGTATAACATGCTTGTTTTAAAATAAGTAATATAGAAATTGAAGGGTTGTCTTTACTTTTAGTTCCATTACCTAGAAATAACCTTTGCTAACAGTATCTTTCTAGACTTTCTTTTCTTTTTTTTTTTTTTTTTGGTACCAGGGATCGGACTTGGGACCTTGCACTTGTGAGGCAGGTGGCGGCACCACTGAGCTAGATCTCTGGCCCTCTAGACTTTCTTTATACCTGTACTAATTCATATAAATTTTTCTCCTCTACAAGAGGATCATTTCTTATCCAATTCTCTGTCTGTATATGTTGTTCTAAGTGACTTCTTGAGTGTTACTTTATTTCTGCTTTGCATTCATCCCCCAAAATTATTTAAAATAATTTCTTCTTCCAAGGGGAAACAGTCAAAGCAATGTTTATTTTGTAAAGTTAATGTCTGTTACACAGTGATCACAAAGAAAATGTTTTCATTTTGCCGCTGCTTTTGTTTCTTTAAATTTAATTTCTAACTAGCCTACAAAGTAAGACTATTTTTATATTCCAATCATTTCCTCAAAATTTTACATTGGTTTTGTCTGGGAGCTTGAGACTTGCGAAGATTGGTCTAGATCTCTGTGATCAAACTTTATAGCCACTCCCCACATGTGCTATAAAATGTGTCTAGTCCAAATTAAGAGATGCTGTAAGTATAAAATACATACCAGATTTCAGTGACTTAGTACCAAAAAATTAAAATATTTTATTATTTTGTGTGTGTGTTGCTTACATGTTGATAATATGTTGGGTGTGTTGTTTTATATAGATTAGTAACTTCATCTGTTCAAGTTTTGTAATGTAATGCTAATAGAAAACTTCTGTTTGTGACTTGGCTTATATTTCTGTTATACAGTGCTGGTCTAGATGGCAGAATATATGTAAAGGAAAAATGCTCTCTGGCAGAGAGCTATTTTGTACTTTTCATTTTGACATTGATAGTATCAGTATAGGTTGATCACAGAATGTTCTAAGGCATTGTTCTGCCAGTTTTGCTGGCTAGATTGAAACTTCATTCTTGGTCTGTTTTATGACTTGTTTAACTGAAAGAAAGTACTTCTTTAATAGAAATTTGTACTTTAGCTCAAGAATCAAACTGTTTAGCCTCTCTTAAGAAAAAATAATTAGAAATGCAACCAAGGTCTAATTTTGGTTTTTCTCTTCTGAAAGAATTTATAGTGGTATACTTTACTCTATATGCTTTGAATTTCTGAGTTTATTTCCAACAAGAGATCTAAAAATTAGAGCAGAGTTGCAAATATTTATAGAAAATGAATAATGCAGGTATAAATTAAGCATGTAAAGGATCTTTCTATATACTAGGCAATTGGGCTTAACCAAAAGATTGTTTTTCATGTATATATTATTTCTAATATAAATCTATAATTTTCCATATATATATATATATCTGTGTTAAAGCTAATGAAACTCAAATGAAAAAAATTCCAATTTTTTTAAATGAAGGGTTTAACAATGATGTAATATAATAATACCACATTTATATTGCCTCTAGGCAGGACTGATAGGGATTTAGTATCTGAGAAAGAAGATTCAATTAGAATATAAAATCTTACTTTAATTTCTAAAATTTCCAGAGTTTTATTAATCAAGATAAAAGGAAAGAAACAGAAGATGAGGATAAATCAAAATCATTCATACAGAAATATGAGCAAAAAATCAGACATTTTGGTGAGTCTACTACTTGAATTTCCTTCTTTGTGATGTTTGGTATCATTTGTATTGGTGCAAAAACAGAGTCATAAATTGGAATCCCAAAAGAAGGTACATGACAGACTCCAGGTGTGTAGCTACTACTGGTAGAGTTGTACAGATCTTGTATTAGACCTATTTTGGGCAATAAAATAGATTAAAAGAGAAGCAAAATTTAATCTATTAATACTAGCCCTCTAAGACAGTCTTTCCATTTCTCAACTACTCTTTGCTTTTTTCTTTTTCTTCTTTGCTTCCTTGATACCTGCATATTTTGTGGTTAAAAGATTAGCTGCTTTTATTTTTATTAAGGTTTTGGATATGATGAATGTAATATGAGCAGGACCTTGAACTATATTGTTTTGTAAATATAGTGATAGAAGTGTGTATGAAAAGAACTGGGAAATTGTCTTTTGGGGGAGGAGTAGGATGAGATTAATATAACCAAAGGCTTCTCAGACAAAGAAACATCTTCTGTGAAGAAAAGGTAGGAATTTTCCATGTAGATAAGGCAGTGGCAGTAGGATGAAGACATGGAGAATCAGGAAACACTATGGTATGTTCTGAAAATTATAAGCAGTCTGATACTGCCCAAGTGAAAATGCTACTGGGAAATGCTGGGAGTTCAGGTTCAAATCATGTTTTTTTGATCTCAAGTAATGTGTTAACTTGGTAAACATGATTTTTATTTGTATTGTGTTCATGGACATTTTAAATGGCATTTTGAGGGCCGGGGATTTAGCTCAGTGGTTCCAGCGCCTGCCTCGCAAATGCAAGGTCCTGAGTTCAATCCCAGGTACCAAAAAAAAAAAGGTTCTATAAATGGCATTTTGAAATCTTTTTCTATTGGCTTTTTCCTCCCAAACATAGAATTTTATTTATGCTTCAGTTATGTAAAGACAATGGATATTACTTTCAACTTTTTCCCTTTTGTGCAACTTTTCATAACATTCATATTTTCATACTTTAAAAAAGAAAATTAACTGTATATTTAATTCCAGAATAATATCTGAAGAAATAAACAAATTTTACATTTCTACATAATGTGGTGTTCTTTATAATCAGAAAAAGGGAGTAAATAGCCCTCCTTTGGATAGATATTAAAATTTTTAAACAAGTAGTGTTTTGAGTCAAAGATAAAAGGCGGTAATTTTGCAGATGAGTCTTACCTGTTTTATGTGAGTTGCCTTTCCCACCTCTAACCCTTATTTCCTAGGTTCATGTGTTGTGCTGTAGGAAAATATATGTATATCTGCTGGTTGTTCTTTCAGAGCACATGATGCATTTGGTAGAACAGCATCCCTCAAAGTGTTTTTACCCAGCTGGCATTCTCTTGGCAAGTTGCTTTGTAGCTATGGAACTTAATAGATGAGAAATTCCCTCACTTTTGTTGTAAACTGAGTTCTTTGGTCAAAAGCAATTTTGTGTGGGGAAATATTCTAACCTCATAAGAAGTTGGAATGCACTTGCACTGACTCTTTAATAAACCCTTCACCACTGTGTAAAACCTGCTACTTCTGAGTTATGATGTTCATAAGACCAGTGAATTTCATGAGCCCATAGTCTTCATTTGTTTTGTTGAAAAATCAGTTAAAAAATGAGGTTTGGTGAGTACTTCATTAAGACCACTAATATATTACTGGTACAAACATAGTAAGGGAAGAGGGCAATTCCAGATACAGAATGGGCTTGTTCAAGTAAGGAATTAGTGATTCTTGGGACCAAGATATTCAACCTGGTTCTCAGTGTCTGGATAGCTGCTCCAGTATATGGTGGCATACTGAGGTTTTGGCATTGGTTTCTGCTACTAGCAAATTAGATACTCATTGGCCTTATTTGATTGTAATACTAAAACATTTTTCATGAGGATAGTTCATTCTATTGAATCTGTGCATAATCTCAAGCCTGTGTTACCATGACCCTTTAGTTTATGAAACTATTGTGCATTTAATGGGATAGCTGAGAGAAAGGCTGACTTGACATCCGCAGGTGATTAATAAGCAATTGTTTTGCCCTTGCATATTGTGATCTTCTAGTACTTCATCTTGTAATACTAACCAGAGCCTTGCTGTCTTCAAACCCAACCAGACTTGATAGCCACTCCCAGATTCACATTGTGCCTGTTTCTTAGTGGAAATGCACATTGACTTTTCACTTTGGAGGAGATACCCTACTTGCTGCAACACATTGGATCCACAGAAATGTTACTAAGGTAGTAGGCTCCCAAAATTTTCATGTGTTTTATTTTCCATTCTCTGGCATGCTTATCTTAAGGCATCTGGGGTACTTGCCACTTTTTGTTCACCCTGTTCCATCAGCAGAGTAGATCAGCTTACAGTCATGTGGGATGATGAGATCATCAAAATCTCCCATTGACTAGTTATGGCACAGAGTGGATAGAGGCCTGAGGCAAGTCAGTGAAAGTGAATGGTCTTGATGGTATATATTTATTGTAGTAAAGGAAAATTGTATTTACCTTAATGGTGACTATGATATGCTCCTTTAAACACCTCTGGAATGATAGCTTTAATTAAACTTGCAAATGAAGATGTTTCCAAACCTGAATTGCATTCCAAACTCTTGAAAGACAAGTGGAGTATGTGGGTGCTATGTAGGGATATAGAGGCTTCCCACCAATATACTTCCCTGTGGTCTTATGTGACTCATATTCTTTAGGTTTCTTCCTAACTTTCCCTTATGTTGTTTGTTGACTGTCTTTCTTGAGTTGCTTCTACCCTTATAATTAGATGGAATTTACTCTCTAATAGTAAATGGTACAGCTGTTATGGTAGAGTACTATGAAGGATTGAAATCTAATTTTTTCCTACATTTGCATTTAATTTATTAATTTAGTTGATTCACATTTTATAAATACAAAATACTAATTTAGACACATAGCCTGCTTTCACTTAAAGTTTACAAAACAGTTTTATTTGGTTATATGCATGTATAACATTACTTTGTGGTCATTAGAGATGCTTTTTCAGTCATGTCTTTTCAGAGCATATCATTGTCCCTTTTGGCCAAAGTTAGCTGTGATTCAGGATTTTTTTAATCTCTCTGTAGTATGTTGCCACTGAAAATTTTATCAAAAGCTGTAAGCATTTGCATAAAAACCATTGATACAATCTTTTTCATTTTTACTAAAGATGAATATTTGTTTGTTTTTGTTTTTGGTACCGGGGATCGAACTCGGGTCCTTGCGCTTGCGCAGCAGGCGGCGAAACCACTGAGCTAAATCCCCAGCCCTAAAGATGAATATTTATACCCTCTTCTTCTTCTTTTTTTTTTGGTACCGGGAATCGAACTTGGGATCTTGCGATTTCGAGGCAGGTGGTGGAACCACTGAGCTAAATCCCTGGCCCTATACCCTCTTCTTTTAATCGTGTATATTAGTTTAAGAAATCATAATAATATCCTATTTTTGAAAAAACATTTAATATAAAGTACTCCTGAATAGAATATGAAGTGAAATGAATAAAAAAATTAGAGATATTTTACTTTTATTTATTTACACATTATTTAAAAATAAGCATGGGAGGAAATACATCAGTGTTAATAATTATCTCTTGTGGTACAGTTGCAGGTGATTTTTGTTATTTGAACTTTTCACATTCTTCACAATGAATATACTTCATTTTTATAATATGAAAAAAATATTTTTAAGGAATTTATCATAAGAACTCTAGGAGTGCTTCACATTCAAAAGTTTATTATTGTGACAGACTATAGTAACATAACCACTGAACTTGTGATCAGTTTGATGTCAGAAGAATTTCCTGAATGCTTGATTGGGTTACATGGAGGCCAAGAAACATGTAGAATGGAGAGAAGATCGATTTGATTTTCAAATAAGATAAGTTTATGTGCTGGCATATAGGTAGAAAGAGTTGTCTGGTGGGAGATAATTGGGTTGGAAACAGGAAATCTGGGGCCCAGGAAATATTTTTTTAAAAGTCATATGTCTCCTCAAGGAATTTATAACCTAGCTGGGAGATTTTTAGCACATAGAAAAATTAAGATGAATAATGTAGTTTTAGATGTGAAGATGTTTTTAGATGTATCATTCTATAAGTATAATGCAGAAAGGGAATCATGCACACACAACATTTTAGGAATCAAATGCAGAAATTTCTTTTTTTTTTTTTGAGAAAGTATCTCACTTTGTAGTACAGGCTGGCCTTGAACTGATTATGTACCCTAGGCTGGCCTTGTAACTCAAGTTTTCCTGCCTCAGCCTCCTGAGTGCTAGAATTATAGGTGTGCATCACCACGCCCAGCTCTCAAGTGCAGAATATTGAGAATTGATAGGTGAATGGAGATTTAGATGTTCACCAAGGAAATAAATGGGTTATATAATTAAAATATTTTAATCCATCAAATCACAGTTTTTCAGGCTTTCAGAGAAAATGATTAGCAGGTTTAATCTGGATTATCCTTACCCAAAGGAGTAGCTTAATAAATTATTCACTATTATATTAACATTTACCACTTATTAAGTATTTACTATGTGTCAGGCACTGTTCTGAGTGCTTTATATGAGTTGCTATCATTTAGTCATCACAGAAATTTTGTATTAGGTACTATTTTTAGCCCTCTTCTGTACCTGAGGAAATGGAGGCATATAAAGGGGCTTGTCTAAGGGAGTAAGTGGTGAAGCTAATACTCATACCTGGGCATTTTAGTTCTGTAGTCTGTTTTCCCAGCCATTGTTTTTGCTCTCTTTGTCTACAAATTCCAGACTAACATCAGTAATTTCAGGTATTTTCTGTACCACTAAGCTATTGATCCTTTTAAGTATTTTTGTCATAAAATCTTATACTCTTTAAGGTGTGTAAGGATCACTTGTAACTTCTACTAATTCAGTGTTTTTTAAATGGAGTGATGACAAGTATTTCTCAAAATACCTGTTCAATCTCAAGTGTGAATTTTATCTCACCTATTAAATAGGTAATTAAAAATCTTTAATATGTAATGACACCTTCCTAATGGTCCCTGCAAGTGTTACTATCCATTTCATATTACCCTTCATGCTAAAGAACCAGAATGGATAGTATTTTTGTAATCACTGTGTCACAGTGCTGCCATGGAGAAGTTAAATGAGAAGCAATGCACATATAGATGGGTAGAGTTGGAAATATTACCTCTTCAGAAGTGCAAGAAAGCCAAAGCAAAGCTACTTCCTAGAATTTATTTTGTGGCTTCAGGTATAAGAAATGATTATGCTTTCATTAGTTTAGCTCTGACTTTAAGGAGCCATTAACTCTATAGTAGTTTTAAACAACTTAATCATTCTGTTTTTCAGAATCTTAAATGACATAATTATTGCACCAAAATGCTGAGGAAATAACTTTATGAAATATTGAATCAAAATCCTGGGGAAATAACTTTCTGACACTTATAAAACTTTTTATAAGAAAATGGTAAAATCTTTTATCCCTTTTTTGTAAGGACAAATCAATTGTGTATTTTCAGCCAATTGCCTTATGTTGTTGTGTATTCTCAGTGAGACATCTGTCTTCAGTTTTGTTTTTATGTCCTGATGTGGAATTTAATATATATAGAAATTCATTTTGGATCTAGAGGAAAGGTTTACTGCCAAGCTATTGAGAAAGACCTATGGACATTGCTTTGTAACATCCAAACTTCTTGAGTAAATCTAAAGATTCTAAAACTGCCAGTACTGTTGTTATGAGTTTCTCAAGTGTAAAGCTGACTGGACAAGGTAAAAGGTGGAAAACTTGCCAGGTGTGGTGTTGCATATCTGTAGTCCCAGCCACTCAGGAGGCTGAGGCAGGATCATTTGAACTCTTGAGTTCAAGACCAGCCTAGGCAACATAAAAATAGATCATTTTAAAAATGCAACACTTTCTCAGTTCCATGATTAATTGGTCATATTGACTTTAACCAAATTTTGTACTAATTTTAAGATGCAGATACACCTTAAGTAGTATTTGGATTTGTTTAACATCTTGAAACAAAATGTCTGCATTTTCCAGTATGCAGTACTGATTTTAAATTATTGTTTACTATGCATGTGAAAGATACCATAAGTAAATGCCTAACATTACTAAAATTGTTCAACTATATTTACTATTATAATACTGACTCATTTGGTTTCCCAATTGATAAATTTTCCTGAATTGGTATCAACATTTTACCATATCTGAAGTAAAACTTTCTATGAATTTTGGAAGCTATTTTCAGCCTACTGGATATTGCTTTAAAGAACATTATCCTTCTTCATTTGCCCTTTTACCATAATGTATTATTCTGATAACTATGAATTATCTTTCAAGAGTCATTTTAAGATGCCATTTCTTCCCTTACAGGAAGACAGAAAATATTTAACATTTATAATTTCTTTTTTTTTTTTTACAGGTATGTTGAGTCGATGGGATGACAGTCAGAGATTTTTGTCTGACCATCCATTCCTTGTATGTGAAGAAACTGCTAAATATCTTATTTTATGGTGTTTTCACCTAGAAGCCGAACAGGTATTATATGACCCTTGAAATTCTGATTTCTTATTTTAATGGTGTTTTTTAAAACAATTACCTATATTAAATGAAAGCAAGAAGGTCAATAGGAAATACGAATTTTTGTTTTCAGACCTTACTGAGTTTAATGTGGGATTTTTTTTTTTTAGTTGTTTCAGTTACTACATGGAAACTATGTGCTTTCTCTGCCATCTCCCAATTATTCTTGCTCCCATGTACTATAATCCTTTTTCTTTTTTAAATAATTAGAAAGTCATGTATTAAAAAATGAATTTGAAATTACAATACTAAATCAAGACAATTGCATAGTTCCTCTTTAGTTCTTCTGGTCCTCATAAAAAAAAATAATAAAAAACTAAAATATACTCTATTTTTTTGGTACTGGGGATTGAACTCTCAGGATATTGAGCTTGCGAGACAGGTGATGGAACCACTGAGCTAAATCACCAGCCCTAAAATATACTCTTTATATGTTCTCCTAGTATTTGACTTAAAACTAAATAAAGTGAAATCAAAGCACCCTAAAAATTTAAAATCTGAATTGGCATGTCAATTAAATATATTTCTAAAGGTATTTCTTTTATAACTTTAATCTTTTCACTTTCAGAAAGGGGCTCTAATGGAACAAATAGCACATCAAGCTGTTGTAATGCAGTTTATTATGGAAATGGCCAAAAACTGTAATGTGGATCCAAGAGGATGTTTTCGTTTATTTTTCCAGAAAGCCAAAGTAAGTAGTTATTTGATATTATTAAAAGGGAGAGTTAGGCCATAGCTGAGACTTCTTTGTTTTATATACATCAAGAAAAGCCATCTAATGGGACAGGCTAAATGCTATAGAATTTCTAGTGATAAGAAAATTTGGTTTTGCTAAACTTTATGGTGAGACATAAATTATATAAGAGGCATGTGTGTGAAATTGAGATCTACTCAAAGGTGGGAAACTTAGAATATGCCATGTTTATTTGTTCAATAATTTATTTGTTCAATAACTGAGTGCTTACTAATTCAAACCAAAGCTGTTTCAAACGCTGAAGATACAGTGTCGAACAAAGTAGATGCAGGATACTCTATGTATAGAATTCATACTTTAATAGGAAATCAGACTTCTATAATGAAAAAATGGGAAACAACATAAAAATTCAACATTTAGAGAAATGATTTGTAAAGTTACGGGTTTTGATATTTTGTTATTTATTTTATTATGTACAGACACATAGTTATGGAACATTTTATAATCTAAGGAAATGTACTAGTACATGTTTATATAAACAAGATAATGTTGGCCATGTTAAAGAAAAATAGATATACCTAGGAAGATTACCATTTCACATTTACTATATTAGTTACAACTTAAAAGTTGCCCGGAAAATAGAGCAGTAAGAACTTGAATTCACTTCTAATGGGAGTATAAACTAGAAAAACCACTTCAAAAAGCTTTCTAGTAAATTTGAACAAGTGTGTACCTAACATGCAAAAATTCTTTTAGGTATATGCCCTAGAGAGTAGGTTGTCACCATGTGATCCAAGAAGCTCTGAGAGCCTTCAAAAACCCTTTAAAGAGGTCCTCTGTCATAACTATATTCATAATAATACTACGATGTCACTTGCTATTTTTATTCCCATTCTCTCAAGAGTGAACAACAGAGATTGATGCTGAAGCAGATGTGAGAATTCATCTGTCTTCTGTTAAGTCAGACATTAGATTTACAGAAATGAAAACCACATACCACTGTTCTCACTAAACTTTTTTTATTTTGGAAAATGCAGCTTTGATACTTTTTTTTTTTTTTTTTTTTTTTAAGACATAGTCTCCCTGTATCGTCCAGCTTGGTCTCAAATTCTTGGGCTCAAGTGATCTCCTTTTTCAGTCTCCTGAGTAGCTGGGACTACACAGCACCATGCCTGGCCTTGGAAAATACAATTTTTTTTTTAAAGAAAAAAAAGTTGTTAATGGTAGCATGTAATGAGCTTATGTTTTTAGTTATTTTTTTAAATTACTTGGTTTTGATTTCTAACACACTATATATTGTCAGATACAACCTATGTAAACATAGATTCTTTAGCTCCTTCAATAATTTTCCAGAGTATGAAAGAGTCCTGAGGCTGAAGTTTGAGTTCTGCTGCTCGAGAGCAACTCATTCACCTGAATACTAGATACTGTACTGTTTATAGTAGATTCATTCATATTAGCAAATGGCCCAGGCGTGGTGGCACACGCCTGTTGTGCCAGCACTTGGGAGGCAGAGGCAGGAGGTTTGCCTTGCATTTGAGACTTGCCTGGGCTACATGGTGTAGTTCAGCCTGAACTACAAAGTGAGACCCTGTCTCACAAAACCAAAACCAAGCAAAACATAGTAGCAAATGGCCTGGAAGCAATCCAAATGTCTGTCAACAGTAGAATGAATAAATTGTGGTATATTTGTTTGGTAATGTACTAACCATCATTGATATGGATGAAAAAGCAGGCAAGTGAATATTTTACATGTTCTTTTGCACATAGGATACATTTCAGCATATATAAAAAGAAAATGTACCAGAAACTTAATTTTGGTTATACTTGAGTGGTAGAAACTACAAAGGTGGTAGCAGACATACAGTGCCCTCCAGTCTTCTGAAGTGCAACCTAAATAGGATGTTTTCCTGAAATAGTAGAGTGTTAATGAGTAAAAGAGTTGGTATTTTGTCTAGGTTTATGGCAACTAGTCTAAATTTTTACTTGACACATGGGGCAATAAAAGCTATACTTTTTTTATCTTACATTAATGGATGTGTTTAAACTGGTGCTTAATATTATTATGGAACATGGTTGTACTGTACATTCTTTTAAATTTGGATAAAATACTTGGACAAAATAGAACCAAAAGGTACTTTGTAACATTACGTTTTTAATTCTTTTAAGAAAAAAATGACCAATAGTATTCATGGGGTGCTTACTTTATGCTAGGCACTGTTCTCAGTACTTTACATGGATTAACTCATTAAGTCCTATGACATTTTATGAGAATTTCTACTCCTATTTTGTAGGTGAGGAAATTGGCATAAAGAAATTAAGCAAGAGCCCCATGGGTTACTTAATAAAACAAAGTTAGGTCACTCAAGATCTGAATTCCTAGGCCATATCCTTGCAATAAAGTCAGCAGTTGTGCAGCTTTTCAGAAAGATTACCTTTGGACATGAGGACTAATATTCTTTGTGTTCATCATATATTGAGTATAAGTAATCTTTCAAAAATGTAATTAAGGAAATTATTCCTAAATTCAAAGGTAGGATGACAGCACAAAACATTGTTTCCATTATTTATATAGATATTGATGGTAATAAATAACCTATAGATTTTAACCTGATTAAACAATCTACACTCCATTTGACAAGATCTCTTCCACATTTTAACTTAAAGCCAACATTCTGGTAATACAGGATATGCTTCATGTCATTTCTTTTTATGAGAAGGAAACATTTAAGCAGAGACTGCTACCACTAGGGAGTTTTGTATCAAGAATTTCACTTAGTTGCCTGGGATTTAGCTCAGCGGCACTGTGCCTGCCTTGCAAGCCCAAGGTCCTGAGTTTGATCGCCGGTACCAAAAAAAAAAAGAAAAAAAAAGAATTTCACTTATACTGCATTACAGTCATGGGTGCCTAAGAGTTTTCCTCTTTAAATGTAAATCACTGTAATTTTTTTCTTTCTGTAACATTGAGAAGAGGATACTTGCTTAAGTAGAACACTAAGATACTCCCATAATGAAGATGAATGCTAAATTTTACTTGGTTTTCATAGCATTTATAAATAGAAAATATAGGGTCAGAGAATTACTAGAAATAGGGGATAGTGCCCCTCTCATTAACTTAAAACCTTTTATAAGAATATGCCTTGGTTGTTTGACAGTGGTAAGAGGAATGAAAGATTGTAAGAGGTTAAATGAGGATTTTTTTTTTTGAGGTAGAGGGGTGGATCAGATCCTATTAAAAGGATCCAGATAGGGCCAGGCATTTAGCTCGGTGGTTCCACTGCCTGCCTCCCAAGTACAAGGTCCTGAGTTTGATCCCTGGTACCAAAAAAAAGGGATCCAGATAAAACAAGAGCAATACGCAGGGTGATTGAAAAATATGGTGAATATTTTTAAAATTTAGAATTTATCATAGTGAAAAAACATTAGCATTAATTCCCCTCAAAGTACTTCCTTCACTGGAAACACCTCATTATTCTTGCCACTTTTTAAAGTAGTTCTGAAAATTTTTTTTTTTTTTTTTTTTTCCCTGTCCCAATATCCTGAATCAGTTCAAAATGTTTACCTTTCATAGTCGCTTTGACTTTGGGGAAGAGCCAGAAATAACACGTGCCAGACCTGGTGAATAAAGTGGATAAAGATACACTGTAATGTTTTTTACGAACCTTCCTTTCTGTTAGATGTCACTGTATTTTTGAGTCGCGCCACTTAAAAGACATGAAAGAGGACTTCTAGTAGTGCTTCAGAAAATGACAAGAATGGTGGGATGAGTGTGAAGTAAGCAGGGGAAGTATTTGAGGGAGATTTAACCCATTCATGATGGGACCATAATTCATCTGTCTCACTGCTGGGTGGCTTAAACCACCAGTGGTACATACATGACTATCCTGTTGGGTAGCTTTTTATTAATTTTATTAGTAAAAAAAGACCAATAAAAGTTATTAGCTCTGTTTGTACCACCAGTGGTACAAGCTGCCCAGCAGGAGTTGTGCATGTGTCATCAGTGGTTCAAGCCAGCAGGAACGTGTTAATGGCAATGTCTCTATAATAAATTTTAAAAACTTAAACATTCACCATATATTTTAATCATATGTTGTACAAAGGCCTACTTTCTTTTGTTATAGCTGTGCATGCATATTTCTTATTAGCTTGTTTCGCTTTGCTGAAGCAGAAAGAAATGGAACAAATTGATCATCAGTATTCTTATAAATTAAGTAGTTTCATGAGCCTAACAGAGACCCTGGTGGTTTCTACATAATTTAAACTATTCACTTTGTCTTTACTTCCTCCACTCCATCTTTGTTATATGCTTTTTAGAATTTAGTATATAATCTAGAAGTCTTCAAAAACAGTCTTTGAGCTAGGCACTGTGGAACATGCATGTAATCCCAGCTACTTGAGCGGCTGAGGCAAGATTTAAAATTCTAGAGCACAACCCGAATTTGATCCCTGGTACCAAAAAAAAAAAATTCTAGAGCACGCTAGGCAATTTAGTGAGACTTTGTCTCCAAAAAAAAAAAGGACTGGGAATGTAGTCAGTGGAAGGGCACTAGCATCAGGCCTAGCATAATTCCTAGTACCACCACCAAAACAAAAAAAAAAACAACAACCCTCACATACTCTTTGATTCTTTGCTTTTTTGTGTTCTAGGCAGAGGAAGAAGGTTATTTTGAAGCATTCAAAAATGAACTTGAAGCTTTTAAGTCAAGAGTAAAACTTTATTCTCAGTCACAAAGTTTTCAACCTATGACAGTTCAGAATCATGTTCCCCACTCTGGTGTTGGATCTATAGGTTTATTAGAATCCTTACCACAGGTAAGTTGGAAAAGTAAATATATATTTTATAGATTTATTAGTTTACCTAACTTTTGTTCTTTTGGACTACTTGATGTCATGTGCATGACCATTTAAAATGTTCTTATCTCAAAAGATAACACCTGCCAGAAATGGCAGTGCATGCCTGTAATCCCAGGACTGAAGAAGTTGAGGCAGTTCAAGGCCAGCCTGGGCTATAATAGTGAGTTCAAGGCTGGCCTGAACTACATGGTGAGCCCCATCCTATTTCTTACCATGTTTTGGCATTGAATATCTTCTACCTCTTAGACACTAAATTCTATCTCCTTTCAATGTGGAAAAGATGATACCTAAGCATTTTTAAAGGTTACCTGTTGATCACTTCAAACTCCTCAGGGTGGCTGTTAAGGAACATCTCATTGTGTGAAGAACTATGCTCTTATGAACTTTTTAAGACAAAGTAGCTTCATAGCATATAAGCAATTGGATCTTGATGTTGCCTACCAAATATAACACTTTATCACATTAATGTGATGATAATATTGTATCTGGCAGTATTGGCAACTGTTTGAACCTCTTCAGCTTAATAGAGCAAGATAAAAACCATGTCCCCAGGGCCGGGGATTTAGCTCAGTGGTTCTGCCACTTGCCTCGCAAGCACACGGTCCCAAGTTCGATCCCTAGTACCAAAAAAAAAAGGCACCAGCATGAAAGAATTTACAGCAAAAACAAAAAAAGGAATATCAGACCACTTAGTCTAACTGATATTACTTAGAATTACAATTTTTACTTTTTGTTTGTTTTAGATTTTATTTTATTAGTACATGTTTGCACTATGTGCAGCTTACAATCATCTTGGGGAATGGTTACATCTATGTAACTACAGCTTCTTTTTTTTTTTTTTAAATCCCCTTTTCCTTTCCTTCCCCTCTCTCTTCTTCCAGTTCCCCTATCCCAGTTTTCTTTCTTGTTGATATTATTACTCTAAGCTCATGTTATGACATAATTTTTACATTAATTGAGGGTATTAGGTTCCTGTACATGGCATATCTTTATTCTTATTTCCCTCTTTGTCCTCAACTCTTTCCCTTGTTCCCTTGGCCCTCTTCCCTATTGCAAGAGATCCATCTCCTTGTCCCTTCTGTCCTTTATTATTCTCTTTGTACTTTGCCTCACCCAAATGAGAGACACCATACAGTATTTATAGATACCATATTTTCTTTATCCAGTTGTCTGTTTTGTTTTTTTTAAGAGAGGGTCTCACTATGTAGTTCAGTCTGGCCTCAAAGTCAGAGCAATCTTCCTCTTTCAGCCTCCTCAGTGCTGGGATTACAGGCATGTGCCACCATGCCTAGTTTATAATTTTTTACAATTTTGTTATTTTTAGACAGTTCCTCCAATTTTCATTTTAGTAGTAATATCTTACTAGATCTCTCATTTCCAATTATCTCTTATTTCCAGGCTATAAGATTTTTAGACCAGCTTTAGTCAGTTTACAGCGGCCCACATGGTGAGGTGGAAAGTGTCATTCAAAAGACAGTATTAGGCAAATTGTATTACTTATTTTTCAACTTCATAATGTGGTAAAAGTAGAGATTTTTAATATCTTGACCATATATCACTATAATTTTACCATTCTAGTTACATGTATTTTAGGAAAGCAATTGACTTACCCAACACAATCAAAAATATTATTTTTCAACAAATAGTCAAGTTGTGATTTTGTTAGTAATGCTCCCCCTTAGTTAAACACGAAAGGAATACTGTCATTATAGATTATCTCCTAACATTATTTAAATATAATGACCATATCTCCTCAGTTCCTGAAAAATATCCCACAGGGAAGTATTTTCAAGGGAGTTTTATGACTTAAATCACTGTCAAATCCAGTATATAGGCCGGGCGTGGTGGTCAGGCCTGTAATCTCAGCATTTG